TACTCCAACTAGTAAAACTAATACTCAATTTCCCAATTGTTTTAACTCACACAAAACTATCAATCAACTTTGTTCCACCTCAACCAAGGTAACCAATATGATTTTTACCAAATCTCATACTTATTGAATATTTCTATTTCCATCCTACTATATCAAAAGTTATGGTATCTTCTCAATAACATACTTTTAATCATAACGGATATAAAATTTTAACCAAACTAATTTAATTCACTAAATTAGTAAGTGTATCATATTCAAAACTTTCCAAATCAATAATACCAAACATAACTTCACATACCTCATCTCTCAAACATAACCATATCTCATGCCAAGCTACTCAAATAGCCAACCTTTCCCAACTCTCTACAAATAATAATTTTCAAAACTTTTTCTAAAATTAATTAATCACATGATATTTACATCAAAAATTAAGAAACATGCCCAAGAGTAATATTTTCAAGGTTGTGATTTCAAAAGTCCACATTTCACATTTTCATTTTCACAAAAATGAACGCAACTTAATCATCAACATATCACCTTTCATCAAATATCATGAATGTAACACTTTTAAAGTTTTTAATCCCAAAACAACTCTATAATCTCAACTTAACAATTTACCCAATATTCATCAACATCAATATATTTTTTTCTCAAAAATAAATTCCAAAACTCAAAGATGAAATAAATATTTCAATATTATTTTCTCAAAATAAATTATATAACCATAATATGAGGTAGATACAACTCATACAACTATTAATTTCGTTTTCAGATTTTTTTGACAAATATTACCAGCACAAAATGATTTTTTTTCTAAATCAATTTCAAAATATCAATGTCTTGAACACTTGAACATAATTTTTCTTCCAAAAATTAACCAGAAAAAATATGAGAAATACATATACGCAATACCTCTTATAATGATATATTTTCTCAAAATAACCCTAACATAGGTTTAAAGTAATAATATGTAGAAAGTCCCTACCTCAAAATATGAAGAAAAGTAAATTTGAAAAAGCAAACATCACCCAATCATGAATTCGAGACCACTATTGCGAAGAGTACGACAAGTTCTCCGACTTTCATTTACGAAACTTTTGCAAAATCTCACTTTAAAGACTCCGACTCTAAGCTCAAAGCTTGAGCAATCATAGAGAAAAGAGAAAGGGAGAGAGAGAGAGAGAGAGACGCACAGCCTCTGCCAAACCAAAACAAAAGAAAATGAAAAGAAAAGAAGGGAAAAGAAAGAAGGGACAAGGAATGAGGGAAGGGGGGAGCCCTACGTGGGTTGCCTTCCCAAAAATTAGTTTCCCATATATATATATATATATATGATTTTTGTAAATATATCTCAGAATTTTGTAATATAAATTATAAAATGATATAATTTTCGCACAGCCTCTGCCAAACCAAAACAAAAGAAAATGAAAAGAAAAGAAGGGAAAAGAAAGAAGGGACAAGGAATGAGGGAAGGGGGGGAGCCCCATGTGAGTTGCCTTCCCAAAAATTAGTTTCCCAAAAATATATATATATAATTTTTGTAAATATATCTCAGAATTTTGTAATATAAATTATAAAATGATATAATTTTTCTCACTACAAAATATAACATTTTTGTACACTACAATATATAATTCTTTTGCTCACTACAAAATATACTCTTATTTTATTCACTATAAAAATATATAATTTTTCACCATATGGTACACACCATAAATTCAACTTTCAAATATATATTATAATCATATATAATAAATAATAACAACTCCCATGATGGTCAATACGAATCACATAATTAAAAAGGACCAAGCAGTTAAACATGAGTAAATAAACAAACTCAAATTAAATTAAATCAAATCTAAATCATGTTTTTCAGTTAAATTCACACCCATAAGCTAAACATCACCCAATTATACATCAAAGTAGACCCAACAAACTAATTTCAAGTCATGGTCCAACACACACAAAACTCATTTTCAATTTCTGTTATAAATTAAACTGAACACCAATCAGTCCACGAATTTTCATAAAATAAATACTCATCAATAAATTCTGAAATGTTTACCCAACATGCTAGACTCATATGTGAACAACATATAAAATTTTCATAATTTTCTGAGATTGGGAACTATTTAAAAAAAATATAAAACCGAATTGTTTTCACACAGAATATACACAGCACTACAAATCTGAAAATTTGCTCAATTAAATTATGCACTGACTTTTTAAAAAGAAAAAAAGAAATTATGGGTCATCACATGTAATAACCCTCACTTTACTCTAGTCATGCTTGCATGTATTTACATGATCTTGTCTTGTTAAGTTGCATTTTACAAACCTTGATTTGTTTCGCATAGGTGTTGCTTGCATGCCTTGTTCCTTGCTTGGTGTGAGTTTAGCCGAGGTCATCTTAAGCCTAGGTTACACCTTTGAACTTCTTACACCTAGGACCATCTTGGAACCACTTTGGTTGACCTCCACCCTCACCCTGACATGTTGGCCGAGATGTCATTATCTATGCCGAGGTGTTTATCACCAAGACCGAGATGTGTATTATCTAGGCCGAGATATTATACCCAAGTGGTCTTGTCCCTGCACTGGTACGACCTAGACCGAGGTGTGGCACATCTAGGCCAAGGTGTGGCACAGCTAGGCCAAGTGTTGTCCTTCATAGCCGAGATCATTGAGGCCCTTTTTGCCAAAGCTTTTTCCTAGCCGAGATCATTACCTACCGAAGTGCCCATGTCACCTTACTTGTTGCTTACACTTTGTCATGCTCTTGTCTTATCAATCTATCACCTTTTTGAGGAAACCCAATCCGGTAGTGCCACGTGTCCCAGCAGAGGGTTTAGTCAACTGGCAGAGTTAGAATTATATCATTTTGTGTCATATCTCTTGCATGATAGAGAGAGAAGCTTTAGGAAGAGGAGAGGAAGTTGGAGTGAGAGAGCTAGATCCCAAGCTTGATCTTTAGAGTTTGAGCCGTTTAATCCGTGCCTTGAGGTTAGAATCTTGATTTACTCTTGTTGTTCTTTATGTTGATCCGATTGCATTGCATGATCTAGCATGATTCATGAACCATGCATTGATTTAAAGTATGCCTTAGAAAGAGAAAATGATGTTCTTATGTTCTTGAGATAAAACCATGTTTTTTATCCGAAAGTTTGTAACAAGTTCCATGTTTTTGTGTTTGTTTTCATAAGATCTTCAAGTATGGGTAACCAGGTCCATGTTTTCAAACTCATCTCATGAAATCTCAGATTTTGAATAAAGAAGTTATGATTTTAGCATTCATGTTCTTCATGTTCTTCAAGAGGGAAACCCAGATTTTCCCAGACTTCATTTCCTTGAATGTGGTCGTCGGGAACACACCTCGGCCAAGAGGTGTGGTACCTCGGCCTAGACCTGGTTAGTACCCAGCATGTTTTCCCGAGGTGAAAAGGCAGTGTTGTAACTCCCAGCATGTTTTGCTTTGTTTTGACTTGATTTTGAAAGAAATGCCGAGATCTTTCCCTGCTATGAAAAGCTAGTTTTAAGGATGCATTTCATATCCATCTTTGAGCATCTCACCTTGTCTTATTGAAATGCATTCAATGGGATTTATTATGTGCTTGTAGGCCTTAGACCCTTGCTTGTAATTCCTACACCTGAAGAACTATGTGAGTGGTATTTTTAATAAAGCTATGTTATAATGTTTTGATAAAAGCTTTGTTTTGCTTTGTTTTGGAAAAGTATTTGATCAAGTATGGATGATTATCCCTAGTTTTTGGTATCAAGTATTATATTTGCTTTGATGACATTCTGGGAAAGTCCTTAGTGCCAGGGGATTATAATGCAACTGCACCCTTGTTTTGCCACTGACGGTTTTCCGCATGGGTTGTTTGTCCGGAATGTCATCCCTCGTATTATATTGATGCTAGTAAACATCCCTTGAAGATTTGAAAGACTTGATTGATGGACTTGGTTCATCCCTTGAGTTTGTATAGTATGCTATGTATTGTTTAGAAAAGAGATCTTGTATATCATTCATGCAAAACCTTTATTACTGGTATCATTCACTGAGTCTCCAAGCTCACCCTCTGCTTATATATATGTAGGTGATGAGCAAGAAGGCGGCGACGCCTAGATGATTATTTGCAACTTGTTTTGGATTCACATTTTTGTAGCATCTTGAAGATCATGCTTCTTGGCTTGTAGTTACTTCCTTTGTTTATGTCGGCTTGAGAAGCCTTTTGATCAAGATGTATTTTGTACTTTATTTTATTGTATCCAAGTTGTAAGCTATATTAAGATGTATGTCATTTCATTTGATCTATGCACAGCTCTTGTGGACCATTTAGTTTTAAATTTATTGCTTCCGCTCATGTAAGCCCCATACGTATACTCTGATTGTGTGTGAATCTTTGTAAGTTGGCCTTTGGTAATCTCGAATTACTGGCCATCACGACACCATTCTACCGAGGGCGGAATGGGGTCGTGACATCACATTTAAGAGAAGGTCCATTTTCTTGTCACATCATGGTTCTAACATGTCAATTAGGCTCCAAGTTCGTAAGTGTTTTGGGATTCTTAATGGAGTAACTTCTGGGTTTTCGAAACATTTTCGAACCCAAGTACTCAGATCTTTGGGTTTATGGCTCTAAACCTTTTCGAATCTAGTTGCAAAGGATATTTGGATTCATGGTTCTGAATCATTTTGAGTCCAAAAATTTGTCTCGATAATTTTGTGGTTTGAACTCTTTGTACCACTTCTAGCCTTAAAAGTTTGGGTAGGAGATTTGAATTTCGTACTTTAAGTTTCCACCTCTTACAGTGTTCACTACATGGTTTATGAGATAAACGATTCCAATCATCTTATGGGTCCAATGTGAGACCCACAAAATGAAGTACGAAGAAATATAAAGAATAGCCAATGCCTTCTTCTTTTTACTTTTAAATGCTAAATCTATAATTATGCCACATCATTTTGTGTAATTTTAGAAAATTCTAACAAACACCTTCTTCCAACTTTCTTAAGAATATAGTTCAAGATTTCAAATAATCTCACTTAAAAGTTTTGCCATGGGCTCAACAACCTCTATTACAGAAGTAAGCAAGAATGGAAAACACTGTCTGTGTCAAAGTGAGTAGAAGCAACATAATAGCTCCGAGAAATGAGATGACTGTCCATGGGCTGTTGAAATAATCACGCCTTAACATTGTAGTCCATATGTTCCGACATTGCTTACTATACCTGCTTACGTCGTCAAATACTTGCGAGTAATAAAAATTGTCACGAGGTGCAACGACACAAGTAGAAATCTTGTTAAGAATTGACACAACCACTTCATCACCACCTAGCATGTTTTTGAGAATTCCATAGCGACAAAGCAAGGAGACATCCTGTGACGAGTTAATGAGGCAACACAGGAAAGTAAAATAGTCAGTGGTATATTTGAGGCCAATGTCCTCCTCGAGATGATGTTGCTCGTATGCAATTCCATTTCTAAAAAGACATTCTATCTTCTCATGTATGACTAATGTCGGGATATCTAATACCTCATTTTTAAATTTTACATTATAAAAGATCGTACCACAGTTAGATTTCTTGAACTTGATCCCAATTTCATGTAACTCTGTGGCACATTGTATGTGTTCCCATTTCTTTATCTTGTCTCCGACGGCACTTGTTAGAGGTACTGATTTTGAGAGTGAAAAAGATGTAATTTGGTGTACCAGACCAAGAAAATGTTTCACACCACAAGTTGAAATTCCATTATAAGCGTATAAAATCTTTACAGGACCTAGGGATGCATATTGACTGACACAATGATGGTATCGAATGGCTAAATCAGTGATATTGTCATGAGGGTCGAGAACTTTGGTCATATTGAACAACTCCACAAGAACAAAGAATGGAAGTTGATTTTCAAATAACAATGAGTCGCGCCATAATGTTGGAAGTATCCAATCTATTTTGAAGAGCGGGTCATTTCTATCTCTCATACTTGTTATGGTAAATTTGCGAAACAACTCAACGAGAAAGCAGCTGTCAAGAAGCATCATTTTCACAAACTCGTCTTTGTTAAGCCATACAGAGTTTGCATAACATCTAAGTGCTCGTTCTTGCAAATCTCTCATGGCTACTATGTATCTATCCACACTGGTCTCATTTCTTCGTTTAAGAAGCAATCGCAGATACTGTAATTTGTGTTCTTCCATCCATTGTAAGTTCTCTTTACCATGGTGATATGGTCCTATAGCCATCATTTCTGGTTCATATGACTTTTCATTTTGCCAACGTAGTCGATCATGCACTTTGTAGATATAACACTCGGAGTCTGTACCAGATAGGTGTGTAAGCTTTTCATCTAAGCGAAGGAAGACAGGATCAACACTTGCACTCGACAGCATATCTTGTAAAACTAGTGGAAATCCTGTCTAAACAAATTACCAAATTTGTTATATATATAAAAAAAAAATAAAAAAAAGAAAGAACATAGGATATATTACGTGAATGAAGCCAAATTTAAAAGATCACAAATTGGTCTAAAAGAGTTTTCCAAAAAGGTTTTCTTATAAATTTTGAAGCTCACATTTCAGACTGACCATGGCTAGTACATTTTTTTAGTTATCTAAAAAAAATGGAACACCCTTGAAATGCTTTAAAGTCTATCTCCTATATCTAATTTTTTGGCAAATTGTCTGAAGAATTTTTCCTTTTTTTTTAGTTGGTGATCTAATTAGAGTGGTGCTATTGCGTTGGGCTCCTCGGTTCAGTTTAGGACCACCTAATTGATTGGAACCTTTGAATTTATAGGATCCGTAGATAAGTTAATTTATTTAAAAAATTAAATTAATTGGATATTGATAATTACATGATCGTATCACATTTATCTTATAAAATTGGACAACAAAATTTATCTAGTGGAATCACCATTGGAGAGGAACTCAACCCTTAGGAATTTCAGTGATAGATACCATTAGATGAAGCAAAATGCTACCTATAATCTTATTCCTCATCTCTTTTTCTCACTACAAAACACAAGCAAGCAAGCTATAGCGATCCTGGTTTTCCCTTCACTGTTTAACAGTACTCCGGACTTAGGTTCTGTGGAGTTGGTTGTTGTATATGTCTTGTTGTCATCCTTTAATTCCTTACTCTTTGTATTTGAGTCTTGGGTTGTGTTGGGTAGGTTTGGAACAGGTTGGTTGTACTTTGAAACCTAGAGTTGATGCCCTGAATTTGGCCTTCACGCTCGAGCGGGGCTTTTGACGCTCGAGTGGGCCCTTTGTTGTTGCTTCTCCGCTCGAGCGGGTGTTTTGATGCTCGAGCATGAATTTCCTTCTTCCAGTATTTTTCTCTGCAGGTCTTTGTACGCTCGAGCGGGAGTTTTGACGCTTGAGCGTGAACCTTTGATTTTGTTCCTCCGCTCGAGCGGGGGAGTTTGACGCTCGAGCGGGGACCATCGCCTACAAACCTTTTGTGTGTGTGCATCCGACACTCGAGCAGGCGTTTTGACACTCGAGCGTGAATCTGTGTTTGACGCTCGAGCGGGGGTTTCTACGCTCGAGTGGGGAGACTTTTATATCACTTCGGGATTTCGCTTTTTGGATCACTTTTCAACATCCTTTCTCTCTCTTACTTTTCGAAAACCACCATTTGAGAGCACCTCACTCTAAAACCTTAACTTCTCTCTAGGATTTGATCTAGCTAGAGTGATCTCCTACCCTTGAGCCTTTACAAAAAGTGTAGAGCTTGGTGTGGGCTTTCTATCAATCCGAAAATTTCTTGATTTAAAGCACTTCGGGATTTCTTCATCATCTCCTTTGGGTTTTATCTCTTGAGGTAGGGATAACTACTCATTTTTATGATCTTTGACATAAGTATTTAGTCATTTTGATTTAATGTTGAAGTTGGGTGATTTTGGGTGTTAGGGTTTCAAATGAATAAAGAGGGGTTTTGTTATTTAACTCATAAATGTGTATTTTGCGTCTTAAAATGATAGTATTGACGTTATTGAAGTTATTTTGGGCCTTTGGGTCAACATTGAGAAAAGGGGAAAAAAGCCCTAAATTGTTATGACAAATTAATTCATGTAATTAATTTGGGAAATTATGGAATTATGAAATTAAGTTGGAAATAATGAAATTGGCATAATATGGAATTGAATGGTGGAGTTGGATTTATTAGTCACTCACCTTTGGAAATTGTCGATGGTTTATCTGTTGATGTAATTATTATCTGTTTAGAAATAATTGTTCTGGGCTATCGGTGGAGGATAGTCTTGATTGTTGTAGACAATGCATGATGACTAGGCGAACAAAAACTAATCAATTGAATATGTCATCGAATATGACTGTTGAAATAATATATTAAATTTATGTATTGATTGATTATGTATATGATATGTGTTTATGTACATTGCGTTGTGTGGGAGGAGATAGGGGATGTACTCCACAGTTTAGGGGAAGATAGGGGATGGACTCCTAAACCGGATATTGTTTGGGAGGAGATAGGGGATGGACTCCATTGATACAGCAAATATGTGTATCTATTGAAGTATTGATACAACAAATTTGTGTATCATATATGAAGTACGGAAGTGTTTTATTTGAGATTGATACAGCAATTGTGTATCTATTGTGAAGTATGAAGTGTTTAATTTGAGTTGTTATCTCAATTGAAATGGAAGTACTGTTGATATGAGATGTAATCTCATTTAAATTGTTTGGTCAGGTTCTGAGCCATAGTTATGAATTGAGAAATTGGATAAGAAATGGAAAATGGAATGAAACATGGACACATTTGTCATGTAATTGAAATGGATTATGAATTGATTTATGTGAGTTAAACATTTATCAAATACTAATGTTTTAGTTATTGCTCATATTATGTTTAGCATATCTCTATTGGGCGTTGGTTCATCCTATATGGGACATCATTTTCAGGTACAGGTAATATGCCACCTCCAAGGACGTAGCTTGGGAGGCTTGAGGCTGTTGAACTCTTTTGTTATTTTTGTTGTATTACATGTATATCAAGCCAAGGGCTTATTTTGTGTAGAGTTAGTACTCTCTTTTGTAACCAACTGTTGACTTGGAAAGTTGTAAGCCCGTAGGGCATTTACTTTTGTTGTCAACATGTAATACCTTTTGTAAAAATACTCTAATGATTGTAATATGAAATCTTTTTTCTTTATCTTGAATGTATGTTATTATAGGTTTATTTTGAGGGTGTTACACAAGCAGATTTTATATGCATTTATGAATATAAAGACCTAGGGCCTATTACTTTGTGTTCAAGAGTGAGAAACCAAAATAAAAAATATAATTATATATAACATTACTCTTAGATAAAACTACTAAAACTACATGTGTTTCTTAAAATGTTTGCAGGCCAATGCCCCTCCTGGTCCCCCTCTCCTTGTGCCCTTATCAGGTGTGATATTTAGTTCAAATCTTATCATTGTGTCTAGGAAGCAGGATACCAGAAATAATACGATAAGGATACGACTATAGAACAAAACTTAAAAAAATATGAAACCAATATGATTAGGATATGTTTTTTAAAAAACATAAATAATTTTTTTTGAAAAAATTATTATTAATGAATTACGCATAAAATCAAGAATGTTGAAAAATCATAATGTAATTTTATAATGCAAAATATTAACATTTAAGAATTAGATATTAATTTAAGATAGTAGCTTGTTTACTTTTTAATTTTCAATAGATCTTGCAAATATTTCATTTCAATATCTAATATGTTTGTATTACAATAATAAAACAATTTACAACTTGTCCCTGCATTTTTCCTTTTGGCACTGGTAAAGAATATTGTTTTCAAGTTTACTTACTTATTTATATGTTGATATTTAATTTTAATTATACTATTATTATATTCTCTTGTTAATACTTACTTTCTATATAATTATATGAGACATGAATGAAAGAAAAAAGATAAATCAATTGGACAAATTTAATTACTTTAATTCACTATATTTTTCTTATCAAAGAACTAAATAAAGTATTAAAAAAGTATTCTTATATTTATCCTTACAATTATTTATATTATATTATTATGCAAGAAATACTACAATTTTAATTTTGTAAAAGAAGTATTATGTGATTTAGAGTATCTGATACATATCTGTGAATATCTAAAAAGTAGATATTCAATACAAACATAATACAGATACATCTCTCTTTTTGAAATATCGGAGAAAAATATCCGTACTTCATAACAGTGTCTTATGGAAATTTTGATTTCTTTCATTTTTTCCTTTCTAGCTACCAATTGTTAATATATATATATATATATAAACAAATAAATAAATAAGTGGACAAACATACCACGAAGGAGAGGCCTCCAAATATCAACCAATTCACTTACAGACACCTCAAAAAGCAAGAGCAGGATGACAGTCGAGAGGACTTTCCAAACAACAACAAACTTTTATGACTTTTTATCTACATACATATGCATATTCATCCATATATATATATAAAGGGTGAGTGAACAAAAAATATATATCTATATATATATTTTGAATTTATCTTATTTTTGTCTGTTATGTAAGGTTTTCTTTACCCTCGAATTTATTTATGTCCACTCACTAAGACGACTTGTAACGCCCTCAAAATAATAACATCAAACCCCTCAATATAGACATGAATTGATAATAAAGATAAACATTCTTTTATTCATCAGAGTAGTTTCTTACAAAAGTATTACATGTTAACAACAAAAGCAAATGCCCTACGGGCTTACAGCTTTCCAAGTTAACACTTGGTTACAACAAAAGAGTACTAACTCCATTTACACATTAAGCCCTTGGCTTGAAATTACATGTAATACATAAAAAATAAAACGATAAAAGTCCGCCTGCCTCTAGCCTCCCAAGCTACGTCCTTGGAGGTGGCATGCTACCTGTACCTGAAAATGATATTCCCATATAGGGTGAGCCACAGCCCAATAGAAATACACTAAACCAACCATGTACAATGACTAAAAGATTAGCAATTGATAGATGGCCAACACTGATACATCCACATAAATCACATTTTTATGTCATACGACTTATGAGTCCAAGTTACTTTTCATTTTCCCCTTTTCAGCAGACAAGCATATTAGCTCCATCATCATTTCAACGGATATGTATATAAACTATATCCCACATTCACAGATAAGTATATAAGCTACATCCACATTTCACAAAGATAAGCATATTAGCATAATCTTCACTTCTCCAGACAAGCATATGAGCTATATCTACACTTCTCAAAGATAAGCATATGAGCTCTATCTTCATTTCTCTAGACAAGCATATGAGCTATATCTACGGAGTTCATCCCCCATCTCCTCCCAAGTCTATCCGGTTTAGAGGTACATCCCACATCTTCCCCTAAACCGCGGAGTACATCCCCCATCTCCTCCTCTACACATAATGCATATAAACACAAGGGTTCTATACACAATCAATCAATACATACATTTAATGTATTCAATCCACCGTCATACTCTATGACACAGTCAACCGATTAGTTTTAGTTTGCCTAATCATCATGCATTGTCTACAACAATCACGACTATCCTCCACCGATAGCCCAAGCAGTTATTTCTAAACAGAAAATAAATGCACAAATGGATATTAAATCAACATTTCACTTTGGTGAGTGATAAATAATTCAACTACACCCTTTAGCCTCATACATTCCCAATCTCAACATTTCCATTTCATTTCCTCATTTCTCACGATTAATTAACCCAATTAATCTAACAATGTAATTAGGGCATTTTCCATAATTACTATTTCAACCTTTAGGTCCTATTTTCATCAATGATTCAACATTCATTTCATTTCTCTATGCCAAACATGCATCTAGGTTTATTACGAATAAAACCCCAACTTTTATAAATTGCACAAAAGCCCCAAACTCTCACAAAATTACCAAACCAACCCCAACATCTCAAAATACTAACATTTAAAGACAAAATCCATAGAGAGGAGTAGGATATCCCTACCTCAAATTCGGATCCCCAAGAGAGAAGATGACAAAACCCAACGTGCTCCAAATCCCGAAATTTTCAGATTAGAATGTAGCCCTCGACGATCAACAACTCTTTTGTAAAGGCCAAAGACAAGGAACTCACCCTAGCTAGATCAAAATCTAGAGAGAAGGTAAGATTTTAGAGAGAGAGGCTCTCAAAATGGTTTTTAGAAAAAGTAGGAGAGAGAAATGATTTAAAATCACCCAGCGGATAACTCATATACCGTATGAACCCGCTCGAGCGGAAGAACACGACGCTCGACGCTCGAGCGCGAAAACCAGTCCGCTCGAGCGTAGATTTCCCTCTCCCAGAACTTATACTCTGGAAGCACTACCCGCTTGAGCGCCAACCGACCCGCTCGAGCGCCACCGCTCGAGCGTAAACAAACCCGCTCGAGCGTAAAATCACATCTGCAGAAGTTTTTGCAGGAACCCGAAATACTGGAGGTGTGCAATCTCCGCTCGAGCGCAAGAAGACCCGCTCGAGCGGAACGCCTAAAAACTGAACAACAAGGAATTGAAACCAAGGCCTAACCAACCTGTAACAACCTTCCTCAAAACATCCTAAAACTCAATCAAAGGGAATTAAAGGACAACAACAAGGTAGATACCACTACCACTCCACGGAACCGAGTCCGGAATACAACAGAACAGTAAAGGGACAACCGGGATCGCTATACGACTATTATTACAAAACTATTGAATAGACTTTTCAACAGCAAAATTATTCTTTTCTTCTTCTTTATTTATGTCCACTCCCCAAGACATCTATTATTACAAGACTATTGAATAGACTTTTCAACAGCAAAATTATTCTTATCTTCTCTCCAATTCTGCATTCACACCAAACCAATCAAGATATGTATCCAAACACAATATTTCAATGGTCTGGCTGGCTGGATTTTAAAATGACGGTTCAGGTTCAAGCTTTCGGGCTGGATTCAGGCCCGAGCTTAACCGGACCGGGTCCACTTCGAACTGTCGGCGGGTTCCGGACCGCCTATGGGTCACGAGTCATTTTTACGCTCCTAACTAGATGTAAGCTAAGATTAATTAAAATTTATGAATATTATTGAAGAAAACAATAGTAACTCGCAAATTTCAAACATTGTTTAAATTTTGAATTATATAATAGTGATTTAAGAGGATAAAAAAAAAAGAGACAAATATTCACAATAATATTAATTAAAATTTTATTACTTTTTCTTTATAATTTTCTTTTTGTCTCTCTTTGAAAACGTATATTGAAATATAAGGCCTCGTTTGGAAAGCGACCGGTTTCGCCAAAAAGTTACTAAAAAAGCTAAAAAGTCAACAACTCATACCAAAAAGTCAAAGATTCTCTTTTCTCTCTACTTTTTGCACATCTTTTCGTAAAAAGTCAAAAAGTCATCCAAAACATACTAATTTTTTTAGTTCATATTTTTGCCAAATAGCCAAAAAATTACTAAATTAACTTATTCCCAAACGAGGCCTAAGATTCAAATACATCCTCAATTAAACACGAATATAGAGTTTGAAGTGATCGGTATGACCAGCAGCCTCAATTAGAGAAAAGTCTAACAAGCTCCCATTTGTCGTGTTTGAATTTTGGCACCAGAACACTTGTGATAGAGAGTTATCAATGCCGAATTAATTTAATTTTTTATAAATATTTTTTTCAATAACTCTTATAAAATTAATGATTTGAATCATTAAAATTAATTTGAAAATGGTCTCACTGATCCTAACAATATCTATTTTTATTCATTTAGCTCGCCGAGATAAAACTGTTATGTACCAAAAACAAATTTGGGATAAATTACTTTGGCAATCCCTACATTTTATCCATTGTGTTATTTTAGTTCTACACTTTCAATTAACTCAATTTTGACCCTTAATTTTAAATTTTGTGTCAATTTGGTCTAATTGATAACACCATTAGAATTTTTGACGGAAAGTAATTACTGAATTAGTTGAGGTTGACTCATTGAGTAAAAAATTTTTATAATTTTGCTTTCAAAAGCATAAAACATGCCACTTATGTGTGCATTTTTCGTAAAATAATACTTACAATTGTAATCAATTGGATGAAATTGAGACAAATTTATAAATTTAGGGTCAAAATTGAATCAATTGAAATTACATGAATCAAAATAACAAAAGGACTAAAGTATATGTACACTGACGTAATTTGGCCTAAAATAAAAAATAAAAAATAAAAAATAAAATGTTGGAAAATTTTTAGAAGTGAATGAGAATTGACTCCATTTGAATGAAATGATGTAATCCTTCATGGTGTCTATTCCTATAAAAGGGGGTGAACCCAAGAAACATGATCATTCTAAAGGTCATGGATACTTCTATAAATACCATCCAATCCCATGGCATTGATGCATAAATTAAGGTTTGTTTTAGGATTCATACATTTTATCTAGTCAAGTATATAAGAGAGAGTGCATAGCAAAAATTGATTTACTGTACACACAGAAAATTGTTCAATTTTTATGTGAGGTGATTGTTGTATCCTGAAAGTAAGACGTCCATTAATCGCAAGCACCAGAGGCGAGGGAAAAATTCTGTCTTTAACACAGTGTTTAATCACTGGCCTCAGTCACAATCTCTACTAAGTTAACAGAATTTCTGTAAGGAATTTCTTGTGTTTTATTTTATTATTTATTTGCATTAAATTGATTTTACCGAAAATATTTTTCTACAATTTTAAGATAGAATTCTCCTATCTATAATGATACAGATTAATTCTTTTCAGTTAAATTAATATTTTTCAAATTTGATTTTTTGTAAAATTTTGTTTCCTGCTTTCTGTAAAACTCCAATATTGTTACAGCATCTTTTCTCTGGTAATAGAATCAACAAATATGATTGGTAATTTTTACATAAAATTGTGTTTAAGTGGAATTCTATTCCAGTATACTAATGTCGGTTCTATATTAAATTTGGAAAATGACTCGTAGCTCGAATTCGGTGGCTCGAAACCCAAAATGACGTCGTTTTGGGTTTCAAATTTTTTTTTTCCTGCCTTTTCTTTCTCTTCCTTTTCTGTCTTTCTTTTCTTCTTCTTCTTCTTCTTCTTCTTCTTCGTTGAACACAGGAGAAGAGCCGAGGAAGAAGAGAGGAGAGGAGAAACAGGAGGAGAGAGGGAGAAAGAGAGAGGAGGAGAGAAGATCGTCGCAGCACCACCGTCGTCGCCTCGCCGCCGCCGATCGTTGCAGCACCACCGCCGTCGCCTCGCCGCCGCCGATCGTCGCAGCACCACTGCCGTCGCCTCCGGCCCCGCCTCCGCCTCCTCCTGTGATTATGCCCCCTCCTGTCCTCTTCCTCCTCCTCCTCCTTCCTCCTTCTCTTCTTCCTCTTCTCCGAATTCGAGCCAAATTCGAGCCTCCAAATTCGAGCTACCTATCGGAACCGATTAAATTTGTTGTCAGACAAATTTCAGTTTCTGTTGTGATTATACAGTCAATTTTAAATCTGTTTTGCATGTTTCGTCTATGCTTCTTTCTTGTGTGATTTCTTCCTTGATATGGGTATTGACACTTTTTCTGTTTTGCATAGCTATTATAAGAATAAGACATCCATTTGGTTTTCTAAAACACCGAGACTAACGTTCTATCATTTTGATTATGACTGTTAAGTCATATTGAGTACGTATGCAACTTCAATTAATTTTATTTAATTTAATGGATATAGCTTGCTTGGTTGTGTTTTTTCAAAAAAACTTTTCAGAAAATTCTACTTTCGTATTTTCTGTGTTTTTTTGTTTTTATTGAATTTTTTTTAATATTTTAAGCAATTTTTTTTAGTTTTTAGACATACCTAACATAAATATACTTAAAAAGTAAAAAAATTATGCAAAAAACCTTTTAAAAATTCACTAAATACCAAAAATACAAAAAAAATAAAAAAACGAGAATTCAATACATTTTTTGCATTTTTATGTATTTATTAAAATTTTAAAATATTTTTTCACAAATTTTTTACTTTTTAGATACATCTAAGTAAGGTGCATCTAAAAAAATAAAAAAAATGTTTAAAATTTTAAAAATATTCACTAAAAACAAAAAAACACGAAAACTAAAAAACTGAGTTTTTAAAAAACTTAATTCAAAAAACACAAACGAAACACACTTTTCAAAAAATACAGATTGTTGGTTTTCTTTTCTGGATTTTGTTGTATATGTATTCTGTTTTCAATACAGAATTTTATTCTATGTTTTTTGGTTTTTTTTTTTTTTTTGAATGCTTCTGGTTTTTTGACCTATAGAATTTTTATTCGGTAGTTACTTTATTTTGTATATTCTGTATTTAAAATATGATTTTACATGAATCTATGTTTGAGTCAAATTCTATTTCTTATTATGTTGTCTTTAACCGTAATTTTTGGTTATTCATGATTTTGTTTATTAGAATCTGATAATATTGTTGCAGATTATTATTTTACGAAATTTGTTTTCTGTATAAGTTTTCTACTTGGTACAAATCTATGTTTGTGTTCTTTATATTTTCTGAGATTATCCTTTATAAGTACGATACTCTTGTATTATGTAGTTCTAGTCAGAATTCTGTCACATTAATTTGAAAGTCGCAACTATTCCGATCTAATATCCCATTATTGAATTCAGAGACGCGCTTATATTTATGTGTTTACCATTTAGAAAGTTTTGTATCATATTTATCTGCTTATTTGGTCTGGTTTGTGCAGCATTGAATTCAGAGACGTGCTTATACTTATAAGTTGCACTTGGAGCACTTTGAATACTATCCTCAACCCCACTTACCTGAATCTTGGATGTAGCTTTCTGCCTCTTTTTCCTTGATTTCATCCTTCGCTCACGAAGAACTTTTGAACAGTTTTCACAATGCCAAGCATGTTCATTGGAGAGAAGCTCTGGCTTCGTGAAATACGGCAAACAGCTCTCTACGGACACTGGAGAATCACTATTATCGACTTCATCTGGATCAGACTCACTGCTATTTCCATCTAAGAAACCAGTTTCTGCAATTTCGTTTGCCGGAAAATTACTCACTTGACAAGGGTTTTACATCGGGCCCTGCAGCAATTTCTGGCTCATCAAATAAGTCTCCAAAGCCATCAAAGTCCAATGCATCTGGTTCACAGCCAACAGCTGACGATGACACCTTCTCACAATATCTCACCACTAGTTGAAGTTTCTTCTTTATGAGGAAGCAACAGAACTTCAGAATCTTGGACCTGTAATGGGAGGTCATTTTCAAAAGAATTCCCTAAACCATCCTTGCTGCCAGAATCTTGGACTACTAATGCATCGTCAACTTTGGAAGCCATAACATGATCATCTGATAATGTATTGGGTTCAAGGTAATCCAACCATGTCAAATTGTCCAATGAACCTGCTATTTCTACTATACAAAGAGAATGGATCTGCCTGCTAGATTCGATGCCATCCTGTAACAAGGCATTGTTTTGAACACCATATTGTTTTCCTGAATCATAAATTGCTAAAATATCATTATGTTTTGAATCTGTATCATCGTCATTTGACACAGGATCTGGTTCCAGGTAATCCAACCATGCTAAATTGTCAACTGAAGCCTCTGTTTTATCCATGACATTCTTGAGGAATGTATTCTTTTCAAACTCTTCAGCAGTCAAGAGATTTGATGAAACTGAACTCTTTTTATCTGCCACTGTACTAGGGCCAACGGATTCAAACACTGTAGAATCGACCAAAGCATCTCCCACTTTTTCTTTGACAGGCACAGTAGATTCTACTTGGCAAGAAGATGAACCACCAGCTGACGGAACTGAAACACTTTCAGATGCTACAAAATCTGCATCCCTATTAAGCTTTGAATGAATCCTTCCACTTCATTTTGGAGGCAGCTTTGGTTTCTTGGCTCGAGAAATAGGTTGGGCCCTTTTAGATGGGGGTTTCTTAGTTGGAACTGGAAGTGAGAGATCTAGAAATGGCTCAAACACTGTTGACGAGTGCCCACATTCCAAACAAGAAACAGTACTGGATAGTTGGCCCCCAAAGATGCCATCAAAAAAAGGAGGACCTAGATTTGAGGAAATCCCATTTTCCACAGAAGTAGTCTGTTTTCTTGCATTCAACTCTTCAGCACACAACCCATCAAGTAAACAACGAAGCAACTCATGACTGTCATGCTGTTGATACCC